GTTTCTGAAAAATGGTTTTCGGTACAATATAAATTATGTTAGTTTCTAAAAAATAGTGGTGTGAAAAAAAATGATTTAACTATATATATATGATTAAGATGCATCATTTTTGTCTGCGAGTCAAATCTAGAAAAACTATATGAATAAACACGTTTAATCTAAAATAATTCCATATATGAAAGAGTTTGTTTTTTTTCAATCCCCCTTGGGAGGAGAGATATTTTCAAAAAGAATATATTAAAGGATGATTCCGGATCCATGAAGATTAGGATTGAGATTCGAATTTCAAAGTAATTTTTTTTTAAAAAAGATTGCTCTTTTGGGGTGACTTAAACAAAGAATACTAATATCTTTTCAAATAACGTATTGTTGTAAAAAATAGTGTTATGTTTGTTATTAAAATTACTTAAAATATATGCTATTTAACAAAAATGAACCAACTTATTTACGATTTTGTTATCTGTCTTTTATACAAATTAGAAGCTAAAATATTGTTACTGTATATTGTACGAAGTATTCCATATAAATACATGGTGACTGGATACTTTTTCAAATATTGTTTTTCTTTGTTACATTTTMCGTTTTTAATTCAATAGGTTTACGCTTTAAGCCTTTAACTGTATGTAAAGTTTGTCGACTAATGAGATATCTATAAGAATTGATTTCAATTAGGCCTACCTAGATACTTAATAATGCGTATATTAGATAACATATATTGAGTTTTAATCATATACAAGCGTCAATTCTTGTTATTTCCAAAGAAATAAAAAAGTGAATCTTCCATATGGTGTCAAAATGGTTGTCCCATGTAAAGCTCAAAGGGTCGATAGAAATATATAGAATATACACATGCATGTGCTAATCAATTGAATAATCAACTACATTAATTATTATTAATGATAATTTCTTCTTTTTGTCAAATTTTACTATACTTAATATTCTCTTCGAGAGTCCACCTATGCACATATATTATTCTACTATATGAGTCTCGACTACATTTTGTTTATTGGATCACCTAAATCATGAAATAGCGCAAAGTGTAAGAGATCGTTTAGTTATTTTTCTTTGATTCATGAAATTTTGGGGTTTCTGGTGAATATTATTGAGATGTACTATTATAGTTAAAGACTACGAGGTTGGCGATACCGAGGGGTTCAAATATTTTGTAATAAAAAGAATCACAGTCACAATCGTATTATGTGAAACCTTAAATTCAAAATCTGATCAAGCATTAATTATATTTAGCCGTCCGTAAACGATACGGATTCTCCCAATATATTAAATCCGATATAAATATAATCACTCCGGTCAGTGGTTTTCAATGCTTGACAAAATTTTCTTTTGATGTCATGATCTCGTCGGCCAATCTATCTTTTATATATGACTAGCATATAGTAAAAGTTAGCTATTGAGAGATATGTCTAAGTCAGAAATAGTTTTATTAAACTATTTTAGTATCTTCAGTGATTTGATTTGTTTTCAATGGATATTAAATTTTAATATTATTTTTCTCTGTAAATTCACGATGGATAACGGATTATATCGAATTTAAATGTATGGATACTTGGCTAATTAAGTTTGAAAAATTCACAATGGATAACGGATTAAAAAGTACGGATATTTAGCTAATTAAGTTCGAACCCATCATTTGTTTTTTCTTCATCTATGTTACGTCGTGAATTCTAAAAGAAAATAAGGAACGGCAACTATCAAAATCTTTTAGTTACATATGAGTTTAAATGGAAAGTAGCACTTGTCTTATGGGTAAATGAATGAATATAAAGT